CGCTAGGGCAGTTCAGCTCCCGCTTGCCGCCGTGCGCCGGCAGGTGTGCACCGCAGGCTCCCTTCTCCACATACACACACACACACACACTCTCTCTCTCTCTCTCACACACACACACACACACTCGCGTGCGTGCGCGTAATCCTCACGCGCGCCAGGTCATGAATTACGTAATGGGCGCCACCTCGATCCGCCTCGTCCCCTATGCGCTGCCCTCAGCCGCCGCGGCCCTGCTCTACTCGTGCCTCTTTGCCTACCTGGGTTCCGCTGCAGACGACTTGCTGCTGCTCATGAGCGGCGGGGCGTCCGCAAGCGTCGGCGGCGCGTGGCTGGCCGCCGCCGGCTGCGTCGGGCTCTGCTCTGCGTACGGGCTGCTGAGGATCTGCCAGCGGCTTATACTCGCGCCGCCCGGCGGCGACGCGGGCGGGGGGGCGCGGCCGAAGGACGGGCCCCCGCAGCAGCAGCAGCAGGAGCAGGCGCAGCAGCAGCAACAGCAGCAGTCGGAGCAGCAGCAGGCGGCCGCGGGCGGGGCGGGCGGCGGGCAGCCGGCGAAAGAAGGGGGCCGGCCGGCGCGCGCGTCGGGCGCCGCCGGCGTCGTTGGCGCGGGCGGGTGCGGCGGCGCGGCGCTGCGGGCGGTCAATACCTACGTGATCACGAACCCCTCCTTCGGCCGCGTGCGGCGCATGTCCGTCACGTCCGTGGTGTGATGTTATTCGACCATTCGCCGCGTTAGACGCTGATACACGTCTGATGGCTGCTTGAGGAGCGTCGCAGCGTCGGCGGCGGCGCCGCTGCAAATCACCAGCACGATCGGTTGGCGAGCAGCGCCGTCTGCGCGGAAGCAGGCGCACCCTCTGTGGCCGCGTCCCCGCCTTCGCCCGGCTCGCCCCCGTGAATCGCAGCGTTGGAGGGCGCTTCCTGAGGTGATTCTCCGGCAGCGCTGGAGCTGGAGCGCGCCCGCCGCGTCTGCGGCCCTTTGGACAGCTGCGGCGCCCCTCTTTCAACAACGGGCCCTGGCCGGGCACACCTGAGAGCTCAACCAATCAGCAGGTGGGTGGCAAGGGGCGGTGCCGCAGCATGGCAGGGGGGGCGCGGCCACCGTTGCAGCTACCTTGCCGGTGTGCAGACCGCCATTACGTCACAATCTGCCATCACATTGCACGCTAATGCCTATCCCGCACGGCTGCGTTCGGAGCGCGCTTGTCACTCGCCTTGCGTGACGCACCCCTGCACTGCGCCACCCCAACCCTTCTCCTCACCCCTCTCATTACGTGCCTCCCCTTAACTCCAGCAGAGCCTTTGGCACCCCAGGCTGCGACACCGCCTTGCGAGTGTACAAGGCGACAGCAGCAGCACATGCCCGCAGCAACCGGGCTCTTGACCTCGTATTCCTGACCTTGACCTCGTACAAAGGTGTTTTACGGCAGTAGTTTCTCCCCTGTTTACCATTTTTGCAAATAAGAAGAGATCCCTTGGTCCCCTCTTGGGCCGTTAGTCTCGATGTCTGGTTCCTGCCCTGCCCAGCGTCTCTTGAGCCAATGCCGCTCAGATAGAGGACCTCCCCTCATACTGACCTTGAACACAATGCCTGCAATCGCATGGAGCGGCCTGGGTCGTCAAACTGTTGGCCCCTTCCTCTAATGCTTTGTGCTGTGTAAAATGTGGCAATCAGTGGGGATGTCTGCAGATTCAGGATCTCCAGGTTGAGTGGCAGGCAGGCAGCCACAACCCCCAACTAACACTGCAGCAGGGCCTGCATATGCATCATCAGCGCCTTCGAGGCCGCGCACGGCGCAACACTCCAGGTGTCCCGCAGGAATTGTCTCAGCACTACGGGCAGTCTGGGGGGCGCTGCCGAGACCAATCGAAGCGAAGCTGGTGTCTGGGCTGCTAGCTGCAGCCGCGATGTCACATGAGCGCAAGCCGGGCGCTCGCTGCCTGAGGCTGCAGCAAGCGTCCCTCCAGCCGCCCCGCTACGGATGGACGCTGTCGAACTCAGCGGCAGGCACCTAGGCAGAGCAAAGGGAACATAGGGCGGGCGAGAAGGTATGAAGTCTTGTCATGCCCGCGTACATCCAGGACTGGAGGGCCGGCTTGCAGGGCCCCGCCAAAGGTGCTGCCACCCTTGACCAGCACCACGTGATGAGCCTTGGTTCTCACACCGGCTGCGCAGACAGGAGGCTGCGATGCCAATGGCGTGGATTTGACCAGAAGGGAGATGGGGGGGGCACCTGCATCCGAATGAGTGCTGCATGCGGCCTTGTGCAGAGCCGCTGCAGGTGAGGGCAAGCTCTAGTGAAGGCCCGGCTGCTGCTGAAACGACCGCAACGAGTCCAGGGGCCGGAGATGCCGCCAGAAATGGAGAGGAGTGGGAAAGGACGGTGGCGTCGACCAAAATGATAGACCAGTGTTGGCACGAGTTTGTTGGAGGCCGCGGTCCCGCCCATATGGCAAGCACTGAGGAGTAGGTCACTGAGGTGGATGCGCATCGCTGCACCGCGCCGGTTCACCAAAGCAGGACGCTGGCACATGAGTCTAGGGGAGCGCGGGCTGCCCCAGGTCTAAACCACATGTGGTGGGTTCTGCACGCTGGAGGCAGGCGTGCAAGCATACGTGTATGTATAGGACCGCGCGGTGGCCCCCATGCGCAGCTGGTCAAACGGCCCATGCACAGGTGCACCTCCATACGAGCAGTTTGACCAGCTCATGCAGGTGGCAGAAAGAGGCCCGTCGCATTCGTTGGCGCCACCGAGACTGGCGATCAACACTGGGAACCACAACCAACGCTGGCCAGCCACCAGCGTTCGTTGCCACTCGTTGCAACCGACGGCAACAAGATCTGCACATATTGGACACCCAGGGATTGCTAGCATCACACACACTACTGGTACACTGCAACAGGCTTTGCCAGTGCTGAGGAACTTCCCTTTGAACATGTCATACATGGCTTTCAAGGGGGGGCGACGCCTCTGGCTCCTGTATTCAGCCATGTTGATCTGAATCGAGGGCGGCGGCCCCAGCAGGAACGGCTACCCGGGCTCCTGGGACGGCTGCTGCTTGCCAAAGGGCGCTTGCGCCCGCCTGACATGTGCCGGCGCGCCGGTGCCCAGCATCACTCAGGCAGGCGCGTGGGCGCGGAGGGCGGACAGCCGCCAAGCTCAAGCGATGGGCAGGCAGGGCACGGGGCGCGGGATGCGCCCGCCCGACTAGGCCGGCGCGCCGCCCGACGGCGCGCCGGCGCCCAAGCTCTAGGCACGCGCGTTGGCGCTGAGGGCGGACAGCTGCCAAGCTCAAACATGCCGCACTGCGTTTCGCACCCTTGTTTGTAAGCCTGCCTTCACGTGCCCGCATGCACGCCTGTGTGTGTAGCGCAGACTTGCAAACTTGTGGGGCCTTTGCGCACACCTGCTATGAGCGGCGAACGCTGGCCACTTAAGTCCCAGTCACACAACACTGATGCTGCAATGCTACATCCCATGAGCCTGGATGGCTCCAGGAGCGGGCGACTGTGGGGATCGTGTAACAATCCAAATCCTACTCCTAATTGTGCTAGGCAATGCAGCAGCACCCTGGGCATTTGCTGCGGGCCACCTGCTACTTCAGCGGCTCAGCTTTCAAGGTATTAAATGACCGCTGAGCGTGCAGGCATTAACGAGTGCCGATGCACTTGTTCGCGTCTGTCGAGGGGCTGGCCGTCACTGGACACCCCCCACACAGCAGGTGTTGCCAGCAGCAGTGTGCACGAAGCATGTCGGATACCCCTGACCATGCAGATTCACCCTTAAAAGACCATCATTTGGGCCAGTTTCACCACAGTACCACCCAGACATGTAATGCAATTTGATGGCCCCACTGCACCCACACCGTAACGCACCACTGCACAAGGTAACCCATCACGCCAGCTTACACCTTCCCTGCACTTGCTTGCAAATACTGATCAACAGCAACTGCGCTGATAATGGATGCACATAAGATTGCAGACGTGGCGGACAGCTGTACTGCCCCCTGCTCCAGCAAGGGAGTCTCTACACACGCCCGGTTGACAACTGACCACGCAGGGGTGGTGACACCCTGGCCAGCCGACCAAAGGAAAGAGATGCGACCATCAACCAAAACTTAGCGCGCTTTCGATCACGGACATTGTGATGTTCAGCGACTGCAAGGTTCCCGATCCACGAGCAGCAAAAAAAGAATCCCGGGCGGGAACAGACAGCCAGTGGCCCGTTTGTTGACCACTCGATTGCACGTGCCATACTCGCACACAAGGAAATCGAGAATATAATCTCCGTGGGTGTAAGAACATCTCGCCGAGGTGCGCCTCGCCTTGCCACCAAGGCGGTCCAGATCGCTAGCCGTCACCGACGTGGTCGGGTGAGGATGCGCGGAGCAAGTCATCAAACTTATTTATAGCTTGCTCGCCACGTCGGGCTTGTGGCCTGCTCGCCTCCACACGGGTCACTGGCTCACTGCGCACCTGTGGTGGGTGGCCGGTCCCCGTCCTCAGTCCCTCCCGTTGCAATGGTCGTGGCCCCTGGATACCGCAGGGATCAAGGCGTTCTACCAGTTCAATTGCAATGACTACTCGCAGCCAGCAGCCTGGCAGCGGGCGAGTGGCCCTGGCGGTCGTGCTGGCAGCGGTGCTGGCGCAGTTCGGTGAGGATGGCAGGGGTTCAGGCCGTTGTACAGCGCATGGGTGCAGATACCACTCACCAGTGGCATTCTTTATTTGTTGCGTACGGCTGTGCAGCTCGACAGCGGGCTGTCTGCGCTGCCTGTGTGAAGGGCGCACTGGCCATCCAGCCTCGTGCCACCGCCCTGACGCGCCGCACCCCAATGCCGACGCCAAACTCGACCGCAGCTGCCGCCCAGACGTGCTACCCGGGGGCCATCTCCACACCCGACACCAACTTTGACGTCCAGTTCTCCTCCAAGGTCCTCAACACAACTCTCAGCTACATCAAGAAGCCCAAGACGACCTACAACAGGTACTGCTTCAACGTGAACGCGGCCAGCCCCTGCAACTCGAGCGCGATCTGCTGCAAGACCAACGCCGTCACCAGGCTGAGCGCCGTGTCTATTGCAATTGGTGGGTCGCGGGCAGTGTGAAGGGGATTGCTGTTGTAGCCTGCCAGCAGGGCAGGCTGCAATGACGAGCACCACGAACCAGCTGCGGAGGAGGCGCCTGGACTCGTCCGCATCCGTCCAAGCCAGCACTCCCTTGCATCGCGCCCTCAACCATGCACCACACCTTCACTGCTGCCCTGACCTTGCAATGCAGTGCCAACCTGCATCGTGAAGGGGCTGACCAGCAACGTATCCCTCTCGACCCCGGAGGGCGCCAACGCCAAGTCGGCTTTCGGTTTCAAGATCAACAAGGCGTCCAAGAGTGCAGCCGCTAACATCAAGATCGCGCCCACCAGCGCAACGGCAAAGTCTCTTGGCAGCTCAATCGTGTGCATCAACCTGCCAGGTGTGCGCGGCATCGCTGGTGGACGATGTACCCGCGCTTGTTGACTCGCGATCTGCAATCATAGGCTCCCCCTCCTAGTTGTTGACCGTCCTCAAATGGGACCGCGGATTGACCTCCCACCGCCCACTATGCATTGCTGCGCAGCCGCCGCCGGTCTTTGCAACACAGTTGACAAGCTGTGCGGAGCCTCGACGTGCAAGATTAACGTGACCACCACCAAGTTCAAGCCGGCCAGCCTCACCAAGCCCAAGTCGCTGCCATGCTGCCTCGCGGGCAACGTGAACATCCTGCCAGGTGCGCCTGCTACAAGGTGGCAGAAGCTACAGCAGAATCAACAGCAGCAGCAGCACCTGAAGCAGCAGAATTGGCAGCAGAAGCAGTGGCAGCAGCAGCAGCAGCAGCAGCAGCAGAAGCAGTGGCAGCAGCAGCAGTGGCAGCAGCAGCAGTGGCAGCAGCCGCAGTGGCAGCAGCAGCAGCAGCAGCAGCAGCAGCAGCAGTGGCAGCAGCAGCGGCAGCAGCAGCAGCAGCAGCAGCGGCAGCGGCAGCACCATATGACCCCCCTGAGGCCCAGCTTCCCGCCTGCTTCCCTTTTCACTCAGAACCACGCGCCTCTAGCCCCTGGCAGCAAGCACGTTTCTGAGAGTGTAAACACAACTCTTGGGATGGTATCAACCTGAGATTGTCAAAACAGCCATGCCTCCGCTGCTATCTTGGGCCTGCTCCCTATCCCTTTCCATGCGCTCTCATCGGCCCCTGCTAACCTCCCCCCACCGGCCCTCGCAGCTTTCCAGGCCGACTTTGCAGTGACCGCCATCCAGCTGATCCCCACCAGCCCCGTGGCCGGCCAGCCCTTCACCGCCCGCGTCACCGTCACCAACACTGGCGAGATCGCCTCCGATCCCTTCATCGTGGGCGTGTATGCTGACAAGGCGGCCACCGCCGCGTGCGGCGAAGCGGCTGACAAGACCAACACGACCGGGCCCATCGCTGTCGGGGCCAGCGCCACCGTCAACTTCGGCCTCACGGCCGGGACAGTTGGCAACAAGACACTGCGGGCCTTCTCGGACCTCTTCTGCAATCTGCAGGAGGTGCGGCGGTCGCGCGTGGCTAGGGGCGCGGGAGTGGCAGGGGCAGGGGGCGCCGGCCGCGCGGCATGTTGCGAGTGACGGGTCTGGCCCCGGCTTTGCAATGTCCCAAGGATTGACACAGCAATTGACGGGCGGAAGGGCAACCTCAGAGCCTGCAAAGTTGATAGTTGATAGCACACAGCGGTCATAGGCGCAAGAAAGCTGCCAGTTGGAGCGCGTGCTGCTATCGACACCTTTCAGAAAGAAACCCAGAAGCCCACCACGCTCTGCAACACAACGTTGTTGCGCCTCGTCTCCTGTCTTGGTATAGCCTCCCTTGATCGAGCCCCACACGAACGCCCACACATTTGCTCACGTGCGCGCGCTGTCCGCCCCCCATGCGCTCCCCCCCTTTGCAGAAATCTGACGTCAATGACCAGCTGACTCTTCCCTACACTGTCGTCGCCGCCACCCCCGGCACCAACACCACCAACCCTGGCACCAACACCACCACCCCCGGCACCAACACCACCAACCCGGGCACCAACACCACCAACCCCGGCACCAACACCACCAACCCGGGCAACACCACGGTCCCAGCGACCCTCAGCAACCTCGTCGCGTCGGCTCTGGCAATCACCGGCTACACCGGTCTGCCCGCCACCCTGCTGCCAGGCCAGACGGCCAACCTGACGTTCTTCGTGACGAACGCCGGCAGCGCCGCCTCGGCAGCAACCACCTACGCGCTCTGGCTCAACAAGCTCGTCGCCCCTGTCTGCAACGACGCCGGCGCCACCATCACCGGCGCTGTGCCCGCGCTCGCGGCGGGCGCGTCGACCCCGATAACGGTGCCCGTGTCTCTGCCCAGCACGCTGGGCGCCCTCACTGCGCGCCTGATCGTGGACTTTGCCTGCAGCGTGGCCGAGTCCAACGAGGCCGACAATGTGGCGGCCCTCGCCTACCAGATCGCCGCCCCCGTTGGCCCGACCGCCAACCTGGTGATCAAGTCTCTCCTCGCCGACCCCAGCCTCGCCGCGGGCGTGCCGCTGGGCCAGCTGCTGAACCTCACCATCGAGGTGCTCAACAACGGCACCGACGTCTCGTCGTCGGCCGCCGTCGTCACCGCCTTCGCTGACAAGCTCGGCACCCCGGCCTGCGGGGAGGCCGGCGACGCCAGCATCCCCCTGCCCGCGCTGCCCGTGGGCTCGAGCGCCAACGTTACGCTGAGCGTGCCGGCGCCGCTCCTGCTCGGCGCCAAGACGCTCAAGGTGGTGCTCGACGGGAACTGCGCGCTCATAGAGTCCAGCAAGGCGGACAACGTGGGGTCCCTCCTGTACACTGTGTTGGGCGCCGATTTCGTGCTGAGCGCCGCAGAGGCCGTGCCTGGCGTGGGATCCCTGTTGCAGATCAACGGGCCGTTTGCGCTCAACCTTACCGTCACAAACGTGAGCGGGGCGGAAGGGACATTGCCAGATCTGTCGTCTGCTCAGTGTCGCACAAATTACGCTCAAACCCACATGATCGTGCATGCATGTGTGTGTGTGTGTGTGTGTGTGTGTGTGTGTGTGTGATTTGGGGGGCTGGTGCATGTGCCCAATCGTTGAACCGTCCAAGGTTTGCTGTCCACGCAGGCTGCCGCGTTTTCCACTGCATCGCATGCTCGTTCATGAAGAATGTGTGCAGGCGTGAGCATGACGTTCAGGTGCACGCTGCTGCCTATCTCCTCGCCTGCATCAGCACCAAGGCACAATGCAATCGATGCCTTTAGTTTGATCACAATTGCAAGGCGTCTTGAGACCCCATCTGACCCTTCCATGCCCCGGCCGCTCTGCCCTGTGGTGCAGATCGGCAACGCCGCAGGCGACCCGGGCTCGCTGGGCGCCTTCCTGGGCATAACCTCGCCAGCGGCGTGCGGCAGCGCCGCGCTGAACAGCCCTTCGGGCTCCAGCTTCTGGGGGGCCGGCCCGATCGCCCCCGGCGCCACGGCGACGTCCCTTTTCAACGGGTTCCAGGCTGCGGGCTCTGCCGGCACCTACACCCTCTGGATCGCTGTCAACTACATGGTGGGCAGCTTGGATGCGTGCCGCCCTGCGACGATTGATACGGCGATGTGCCAGTAGCTTGCCCTTGTGATGGATGAAGGCAGCATTTAGGCCATGTGTGTGCTGCGATGAGCAAAATGGGCTTGCACCCACCACGCAGCCATGTGCAATCAAGCTCGCAGCTGCGGCCCCGCCCACCAGTCACTTGTTACCCTCCATCTCTTCGCTCATGTCCTTTCATCATCACTCAAAGAGCCCTGTGCCTTCTGCCCCCCCTTCCCACCTGCCCCTGCGCGTGTCCCTGCAGTGCGTCATCAAGGAGCCCAACTATGCCAACAACCAGCTGAACTTCACCTACACACTCACAGCGCCAGTCGTGGGGTAAGCCTGCCCCGGAAGCTCAAGGCGTGGGCGACGCATCAGGCTGCCCCAAATCGGCGGTGACGGTGCGTGTGTTCACGGCGCGGGGCACTGCGCACAATCCCTGGCCTGCGGCGCCGCCTGTCGTGGTGGCGGCACCACCACAATGCGGCTCGTCACGGGCGGGATGGCTGTGCGTGGCGCAGCTGCCTGGTGCCGTCTGCGCCTTGACCTGCTGCCTGATCTCCCGAGGTTGCTGGCGGTGTTCACAGCTCGGTCCCACGCGGGCCCAGACATTGCATCGGCTTGCGCACTGCAACTCGATTGTCGTGTGATGGAGCCGTTGCTGTAGCGCATGGATGGACACGCTTGACTGCAATCGACCAGAGTGTTGTCGGGCACATGCGCCTTTGTCGCTTGAGGAGCGACAAAGGCCCACCAAAGAGCTTGCCCTGCCGGACTCAACCTCATTATTCAATTTGGATGTGAAGTGCTGCATGTGACCCCTCACACTCACTCTAACACTTCATACATAAATGTGCACCCTGTTTGCAAACAGGACATGCAAAGTGTTTGAAGCGCCCATCATGGCTTTGTGCATGTGCAGCTGGTCCTGGCATGAGCACTTCTGGCCTGTTCCCCGCCAACCAGCCCACTGGCAAAACGCACACTTCACCCCTGCTCCGGCTCGATCCCATGGGATGGATTGCATTTTGAAGAGCCTGGATGGGCTCAGATGTGGGTAACTGTGGAGCCATGAAACATCTTGTCCTTCGGCCTATGGGTGAGCAGGCTCTTGGAGTGGTTGTGATGTGTGCAGGTGTGAGCGTGATGCATCACGGGTGACGCGCATAGCGACAGCAAGAACTCCCTGCTAACACTGAAACCAGCGGGTCATACACATGGTATTTTTTTCAAATCAAGAACATGATGTTTGGCAGTGCGCAGGTGCTTCCCAACTCGCTGCTTCGTGCCTAGCTTCACTGGCAGCATATCTTGCAGAGTGCATGCCCAGCTCGCAGGCATTGACGCTTTGGGCACAGCCCCCGCGTCCTATGGCCCATCCTGCTTGTCAGAGGTGCTGGAGCATCTCAGGCTGAGATACGAGGTGCAAGAAGCCAGTAATAGGGCACGATCTGTAGGCTAAGTCGAGGGCTGCATGCCAGCAGCCCAAAGTACATTTGGACCTGGCCCAGCCCACTAGGCCCCAGCTTCTGACAGCCACTCACGGTCGGACAAGCCACTCCCCAGCTAGGCAAGGCCAGAATACTTGTGGTTTTGTTCAGCTCTGGTTTCATGGCAGAAATCCTAGCTTGTGTACAGTACGCGCAGCGGCGGCAAGCAAACACTCCCACGAGCAACTGCGTTGGAAGCACGTCATGAATCTGGGTCAGAGATCCCCGAGAACGCCGATGCTGTGCTCAGCACGTGTCGACGGCTTTTATATTCTCCGTAATACCCCTGCCTTCACGTCCCTGTTTTCCACCCGCGGCCTCACCGACTCACCGTGGACTTCTCCGGCCACTTCAGCCACGACGGGGTCACTCGGTGGAGGCTCGGACGGCGTATCAAAAAGAGCGAGCAATCACTTCTGATCAAGCATATCACGACAACCTTGCGTGGCCGCTTGATAGCCTTCATAAACGCCACCATACAACGCTGGTGTCGAGCGACCAACCTCCACCAGAACTTCAGTGGTCCGCAAACACGCTGTTAGCACCAACCCTGTGGTGATTTGTTGGTAAGTACTTAGCAGAGCAGCCGGCCTGGGGGGACGCTTTGGGCCACGCTTTAGGCCGCGCTCCCAAATGTGGGTGATGCATGGTCACAGGATTGGAACAATCCTCGCACTGACCATGCCCAAGTCAACCACCGCTCAGCGCAGATAGAACGCCTAGCACTGTACTGGAGCGACCATGGCCGCGGATGGAAAGCGTGCCGGCGGCGTGCAAGCCGCCGCAATCTGCGCTGCGCTGGTGATGCTGCTGACGCTGCTGGGTGAGGACGCGGGGGGGCCCCGCGCAGGCGTGCAGTGCCCTCAGGAAACAACTGTTGCGAATCATGAACACCATTCATATATGCCATGTGCCCTGACATGCTCATGCGGCTACCCACGGCTGCAATCCGCACCTTCACTCGCTACCTGCCCTTAAAACCCACCTCGCGCCGCATCCTGTACCTCTCCCCCCCACAAACGATGCATCGCAGCCCCGGCCGCCGCTCAGTCGTGCTACGCGGGGAACCTCTCCACGCCCAGCACCAACTTTGACCTGCAGTACTCCTCCAAGGTCCTCAACACCACCCTCAGCTACATCAAGAAGCCCAAGACGCTGTACAACCGTTTCTGCTTCAACGTGACCGCGGCGAGCCCCTGCAACTCGACCGCGCTGTGCTGCAAGAACAGCGCCATCACCAGGCTGAGCACTGTGTCTATTGCCATAGGTGCGTACACCAGGGTTTGTCAGTCACGTGGATTGCGAGCAAGGGCTGCCCGCTGCTTGTGCCCGGCTGGGTGTGGCGCTTCTGATCTTGGGCGTGGTGTCAGCACTACGTGTGCGTGCATGCATTCGCGAGCGTGTGGGGCAGGAGGGGGGCCGACGCAGTGCCGTCGCACACCAACAAGCCTGCCAGGGGCCACCAGCTGGAAGCCCAGCTGCAGGCGGTCAGTTGTTGGGGCGTTTGAGGCAGGCCGGCGATGCGAGGAGGGGATGCCCACAGGCGGACCGAGGCCCTCACATCCCCCCCTCAAACACAAAACACAACACACAGGGAACCGTATGAATCTCACACTGAAGAATTCCCCTGCGCTTCCCATCCGTCACATCCCGCAGTGCCGACCTGCATCGTGAAGGGGCTGACCAGCAACTTCTCCCTCTCCTTTGCTGATGGCACCAACGCCAAGTCGGCGTTTGGGTTTAAAATCAACAAGGCCAGCAGGAAAGTGGTTGCTAACGTCAGGATTGCGCCCAAGACCTCGACATCAAAGGCGCTTGGCAGCACGGTCGTCTGCATCAACCTGCCAGGTGAGGGAGGGCAAAGCCAGCTGGGGCACCAGCTTGGGCAGGGCTGCAAGGATTGCAGGGGCGAAAAAGAAAGCTGTCCCTGTTTCGCAGGGTACTGTACGTACGCATGCAAACAGCGCGGCAAGCTGTACAATGTCGCGGCATCCAGCTGCCCTCGTGTGGTAAATCCACGTGCGTCATTACACGCAATACCCCTTGCCGCCCCCTCGCAGCCGCCGCCGGCCTGTGCAACACAGTCGGCTCGCTTTGCGGTGGCACGACGTGCAAGGTGAACGTGACCACCTCCAAGTTCAAGCCGGCCAGCCTCACCAAGCCCAAGTCGCTGCCATGCTGCCTGACCGGCAACGTCAACATCCAGCAAGGTGGGGGGAAGGGTTACTCCGCGCTGCGTGGCAAGGGGCCTGCCTGCGCCCGGCCAGAGTCCACCCACGCACGCATGGGTTGGGGGGCGAGCTGTTGGACCCGTGCTGCTTGCTCACAATTTCTCACGGGCGCCCCACCGTAAGCCCTCATGCCGCCGCCCCAATCCAACGCTTGCGCTGTGTTTTGCCCTTGAACGCTGTTCTTGCACCCTTGCCCTAACCCGGTCCTTGCCCCCCCCCCGGCCGCGCACAGCACCCCCAC